CACCTTGTGAGTTTGGAGCCATCCAGGCTGACACAGCAGTTAGAGGCTTATGGGGAAAATTAATCAGCTCTTCATAACTGCCACACTTAATTAACCCGTGGTGTTCTTTTTGCTGCTTGCTTATATACAAAGGCTGTAAATTGCAGAGGGGTGGGCTGTAATGTGACAGTGGTTTGGGTGCTGAAGCACTGATGCAGAACCAAGTAATCTGTGTCTGTTAGATGAATAGATAAGGTTAAATCATGCACTAATTGCAAGAGGCATCTAGGGAATTCCTTTAAGTGCTTAAGGATGGATTTTTATCAAGTAGTTGATACATGGGTGAGGTGGAGGTTGGCAGTTGGAGGCTGTACTGCTGCAGTGGGTGTCACCCACCTCTGGGAAACAGATGGAAGAGGCAGAGCAGGAAGACAGTGATGGGGAGAACCAGAGAAAGCAGGAGGAAAGGAAAAGAAATTGAATTTCAGGCCTGTATTAAGAACCTGGCAATCGAAATCCGGTGGGCAAAAAGTCTTTAATGGATGTTCTTTGGGTTTGGAGGTGGGGGTGGGTGTTTTTTGGGTTGTTTTGTTTTGTTGGTTTGTTTTTAAGTTCTGAAAAGTTTTTAGAAAACAGCTTTTTCATACCTGTTACCAAGATCCATTTCTGATTTTTCTATGCATCATGCATAAAGGCAAAAGCATGTTTTTTATTTGCATTGAGTCTATGCTAGTGGTGCAGTAGTACTGCTTCACTCAAATATGTTGTATGTGTTAAACATTTCCAATCCAATCACTGATCCTTTTGAAACAGGAGAGAGAATTTTTACCACTAGCTCCAGATACAGATTATTCAGCATTCATAAGGCCTGACAGTTCTCCCAAAGCCCAGAGTCCCAGTGAGAATCACTGTCCATCACATCAGACTGCAGGTAATTATGTGGTACTTCAATACACTGAAGTAGAAAGAATTTTTTAGTATTAAAATCATCAACAATTTTTTATGACTTACGATTTTAAATTTTGATGATTAAAATCATCAACAGTTTTCTCATTTGGAAAACTTAGAGCTGCTTTTACTTAGGCAAGTGCATCCTGCTGTTCAGACTTGGTCTGTAGTACCTTTGACTGAGGTTTAATGTGTGTTACCTGGACTTGTCTCTTCCTGGGCCAGGTTCTCTCTCATAAAACTTCAGAATCTCTACACTACCCTTCTTTGGTGTTGAAATTACTTAATTTTGAAAAAATCTGTATTGTTTTCTGATTTGTTGTCATAGTTTATGTACCTTCATTTGTTTCTCATTTTCTGTTAGTCCCCCTACAAGTCTGTAGCCAAAGAATTATACAATTATCCTTCCCCCCCCGCCCCGCCTTATTCTGATGATAATCTGTAAGAGTAGTAAAATACTGATTTTTTTGGGGTTTTTTTTTTTTTTTGTCCAAGATGAGCTGCAGTACTGTGAAGGTCAGGTATTCATGGAATGTAATTGTGTCAGGGACTTGTGAGATCTTCAGTACGTTTTGATGCATCCAGATGCTTTTGATGCAGTATTTCTCACAACATTTGTGAGAAATCTCACATCTTACAGCAGGGCAGACCTGCTGGCCATTACTGGATTCAATAGGTCTGAACTGCTACTGATTTTGCATCATTCTGCAATGATCATTTTGCATGATCTTGCATCATTCTGCAAGATGCCTCATTTTTCAGTGCCATTCTCCTCTTACCATTTACAGAAGTGCTCAATCCCATTTTAGGAGAAGTACCTTGAAATGCATGACTTGCTGCTCATTGTTAACAATGAGAAATGGGAGACTTCTCCTTTTTCTTCACAGTGATGCTACTGGAATTTGCAGCTACACCCGGAAGTTTACAAAAATCCTTTTTAGAAAGAAAGCAGAATTTCATCCAGGAATCTCTGAAAAGAGTAGAAGCAATAAAAAATAAGGAGAGAGAGGATGAAAAGCTGGAAGCAAGAAAGCTTCAAGGAGGAAAGTCTGAGAATTTAAGAAGCAGACAGAAGGAATCTGGTCTCTCTGGTAGGTTTATCTGAGACAAGACACAGCATTAGGTATCCCTTCAATTGATGTTTATATCAAAGAATAGAGATTTATTTTAACTCAGGATGTCATCTCTGTGGCTTCCATTCTGCTATCTTGTTTTGGGTTTTGTCATGTCATTTTAAAATCTTTGTAAATCTCTCCTGGTTTTGAGTTAGCTGAACTAAAGATTTAAATTTAAGATATGTTTGGCTTCTTTTTTTCCCCTAGGAAAAAATGGTGCACTTGCCAATCAGTTGAAAAAAGTAGGAGAAGTGAAAGTATCTTCTGCAGAGAATAGGAAGTCTGGAGAAACTGAAATGCACCAGCGTACATCCAGGTATTGCATAAACATAAGTGGGAGAAGTTTAGTTAAAAAAAAACCCACAAAAAAGTAGGTAATCTGTGATTTGTGAAAGCTGCTGCTCAGTCTCTGCTCTTTCAGCTGGACCCAGTGCTGCTTAACATTGAACAAGTGGGAGAGGAGCCAGGTGTGTTTGATGCAGGTACCTGCTGGGAAATGCCCTTGCAGAGGTAGCACTAAGGTCACCTGCTGAGGCAGCTCTGCCACTTAATGCCAAGTTCACAGTTGCACTTGGGCATGTAGGAGCAGTTACAGGCAGCAAGTGCAGCTTTGAACAGGGAGGACATTTGCTGGATGCAGCTGAAAAAGAATTTGAAGTGATTCTGGATTACTGGAGAGTGCAGTTAAATTTTCCCATTTGCTAACAACTGAGCCAGGGCCAACTCTTAAGCTTGTTAACCTACTCCATCTTTGCCCCTTCCTCCCTGCCCAGACACTAATGGTGTTTTTTCTGTTTTCACAGACTTTATAATCAGCTTGCAGAAGTAAAAATCAGAAATGAAGAAAAAACAAGGCAAGAAACTTATGCTAAAAACAGAGAAAAGGCTAAAGAGTTTCAAAAGGTAATAATTTGCTTGTGTCCTCTTGCCCTCTGGTCTCATGATTTCACTGAGCTTCCAGTCAGAGTAATTGAGATGTGGTGTGAATGCAGCTGAAATGGAGACCCTCAAACCAGTCTGGATGTTAAGTGATACCATTGGTACATCCTATGTAAAAATTCCCTTGTCAGCAACTGAGCTCAAGTTTTCTTTAAAAAGCGTGTATGCCTCAGGCTGAATTTTTCTGTGACCCGAGTTTGAGCAAAAACACTCCAGCTGCTGGAAAGCCTTTGGCAAAAGAATGGCAGCCTTTTTATTAATCCAGAATTAACCAAATTTCCATTTTAAGGCAACAATCTGGGTTTGTTGTTTTTTGGGCTGCTTTGGCTACCCTACCTAGATCCTGGGCATGCCGAAATGGTGCAAGAATCTTATTGGGGTTTTGCTGGCAGTTGCTGTGGAACAGGGTTAACAAGAGGCCTGGATTTAGCAATTCCCTTATTTCCCTGCTGGGCCTGACAACTGAAAGGAAGAAAATGCTTGATAATCCTGATGGGCTGTGACAACTGTGCGGGATCCAGGTCCAGTTCCTGCCTTTAGCCCCGACCACCTCACCTGCTTTGTGGTGGAGGCAGTTGCAGCTCTTGTTACATTGCTTTATAGATGCCACCATTAACAGAGAAGAGAAATAAGTACACCCTTTGCCCCTGCCCTGGAATCTGTGGCCTCTTTGGAACAGGGGAGGCATTGCACTCACTGCTGTCCAGAGCAGCACTGCCCAATTGTGATGTTCTGCTTACAGACACAGTACCCAGGCATGCTGGCTTTAGGGCAGTCACTTCAGCTTCACTTACTGTAGTCTCATGGTTTGTTTTATTTGTAGAAAATGCTGGAAAAATTGCGAGCCAAGAAGACTTGGAAAGCACCATGAGAGGCAAAGACTTTGAGCAACAAGGACAGAGTGGTGTTGGTACAATCCAGGCCAGTGAGTGGTGAATTCACAATGATGAATTGTGATGCCATTCAGGAATCCTCAGCTTTAAGCTGTAGGAAAACCACAAGTACCTCAAAACGCTGTAGTCCGCTGTTTAGAGCTCAGCAGCAGATGGGACTGTGTTTTTTCATTGTTTGTCTCAGATTGAGCTACTGGCCTGAAGGACCTTTCTTACGTTAATATTTTAAAGAGATACTAAGTTTTGTAATATACATGTATAAAATGTTTTCAAATAAAGTTTTAAGGTTATTTGAATCCTTCAGTGATAGGATATTTCTTCTGTAAAGCTGGAGCTTAATTTGTGCTTTGCACCCTCTGATTTAAGAAATAGTTTCCTGCAGTCACATTTTAAAGGACTTAAATGGGAGAATAAAAATCTGTTACTTCTTCCAAAGAGAGGCTTTCTATCAGTTTTCTGAGCGAAGCACAAAAAATTCAAAACTCAACTTTTGCTGTAAACTTAATAATTAACAGGTGCACTATCAAGGGCTTTTCATTAATGCTCATTCTGGTTAAATGCACCACAGCAAATCATGGCATAGTTGGGGGTGGGGAGATCTTTAAAGGTCCTCTGGCCCAATCCCCCTGCAATGCTTAAAGCTCTAACAATTTCCCTGGAGCCTTCTCTGCTCCAGGCCAAACCCCAATTCTGAGCCTCTTCACAGGTCCTCCAGTCCTGTGCTCATTTTTGCAGCCTCTAAATCTGCTCCAAGGGAACTCTTAGAAAGCAGATTTCTGATGAATTAACTCCACTTCTTTTCACCCCTTTCTTTCAGTCAGGTGCAGTTGCATGTACTGCAGCAGTGCACCATAAGCCACAACCAGCTTGTCAAACTCCACGGAGTCAAGTGAAGGCTCTTTGTAATTCTGGGATTAGCAGTAGAGCATGGAGTCTCAACTTCACCATGGCAATTGTGCAAGGGCTGCTGAGGCTCATGCACATCAATATTCTTGTTCTTCTCTCAGAGTATCAAGGAAGGAGACCAATCCTGCATTCTGCTACCAGCAACTCAGTTGATCAGCTGCCATAATTTCCTCAACCCTTTGTTGGCTTTTCAGTGCAGAAACATGAAGTAACTCCAGGCTGCAATACAGAGCCCCCAGTTTTATATAAATGCTGTGATATTCTGTACAGAATAAGGAGGGTTTTGTTACAGGTGAGTTCAGTGATGGGGAAGTGAGGGAAAAGACCTGATAAAGCCACTTCCAGTCACCTCTATACTCTCAGTTTAGCTGGGGCTTCTACAACACTCAACAGGCACTTTCACCACAGCTTCCAGGAGGGCAAATCACAACATGTACTACCATTAAAATGAATGTTTAATTCCAAAAAAACTACAATGAACACTCTAGAGAAGGTTCTTCATTTGGAACAGCTGTGCAGTTCTTTGCAGCAGGCTTGCAGCAAGCAACATCACCAGGATCTAAGGGAGGAAAAATAGCTATTAGCACTTTCAATCCAGATAAAAGCAACTTCTCTAATATCCAATCTAAACATCTCCTAGCACCACCTGAGGTTATCTCCTCTCATCCTACTACTTGTTAATTGGCAGACCAACCCCCACCCTAAGCTCCTGTCAGGTGGGTGTACAAAGCAGACAGAAGATTCCCGTGCCTCCTTTTCTCCAGGCTAAACACCCCCAGCTCCCTCAGCTGCTCCTCTTCAGACTTGTGCTCCAGACCCTTCCCCAGCTCCACTGCCCTTCTCTGGACACACAAGCAGCAACGTGGGCTGCAAGCCTGCTCAAACCATAACTAACAACCCTTTTCCATGTCATATGCTTCATATTCTTGCTTGAGAGTGGAACTGAGTACTCTGTCCTCTACAACAGCATAAAAAACCCCAAAGGCAGCAGGATAAGGCCCATTTCCAGCCCAGGAGGCCTAACTACAAAAGGTGTTATCTCCTCACATATAGACCATAGCACACATGAGTGTCCACGGCATCCTGCACAGAGGATTTCAATATGCGGTCACCGCGTTAAGAGCTGCTGGTTTTTCAGCCATGCAAACCCTCTTTGAAGTGACCTTCAATTTCTTTACAGTATCAGCCTTTTTTTTAAGTGCTCTTGCCTTCACACTTACTTTTGTAGCTCCCACGTGGTGTTTCTCATCCCCCTCTGACACACAGCAACTTGGCAGCAGTCCCTAGGAACTGGAGTCAGGTTTGGTTAGTACAGGTTTGGTTAGTGCACCTTGGGTGTAAATTGCATGGTACAGCCTTTGTCTCCCTCTTTTGCTTCTGTTCCAAGAGCCACCCACTCAGCAGGAGCTTTGGAATCCAGTCTATAAATCTCCCAACTGAAACTTTTGCTCCCCTATAGCTTCTGTGGAAGGTGCCCAAGGATACATCCCTACACCTCAGCAGGAACTTGCTCTTACCAGCAGAAGGGAATATTGTGTCCTTGACTTACGTTAAAAGCTTTATTCCCAGCAGACTTGGTACCACACAAATGTGTGGCAACACAGGAGTCTGGTGGATTTGCTTTATGGTCATGTCCACAGCTCACCAGAAACAGTAACATCCCAGCAGCCTTGGTAATGACCATACTCCTCTCCCTGCTCTTACGGGACTTCACTCAATAACCCAGCTGCCCATCTTTTCTAGTGAATCAATCCTGCTGATACATAAGCCAAGTTGTGAACAAGCCTGAAGTATGGCAAGCTCCAAGTTCTGATGAATTCCTCACAACCAACAGCAGTCTAATTAAGACACCAGTACTACAGATGGCTGCACAACTGTGACAGCAATTTAAAATAAGTACACACACACAAAGGAATGACTCACAGATGAGTGATCTGCTCGGATACTGCCAACACCTGCAGTGATCACTACCCAGCAATCTCTGGTACTACACCATTTCTACACTTAGTTCTACAACAGTTTAGTAGTTCCCCATGTTTACAGTCATACAAAGCTAATACACCAACTGTGAAATAGTATGGAACCAGTAACTGAGTGCTTACCTGTCAAACAGGTTGCTTCCATTTTTTTAACTCAGGGCATTTCACTCTGTTCTGTATCATCAGGCACCTGGTTAGAAAGAATTGGATGCACTTGCTGAGTTCCAGAGGCCAGTAGAGCCAGTTGTCACATGGATAATCAAAATGAAGACAAATGAAAATGTCTATTTTCATTTGTTACATGAAAACAGAAAGTAAGTACCCTGAAGTCTCTGAAGAGATTAGACTGTTTTAGCAAAAATACCAGGTTTAACAAACAGCAGAATGAAAACCAAGGACACCAAATGCTGCACTGGTGTAGCACTGCTTTTTGACCATCCCACCAGGAGAAAGCTGCTGGGTGCAGATACTGTAACACTGCAACGGCTACACACCCGCAACCACAACAGCTGAATTTTACATATGAGCTTCCTGCATGCACCACTGGGTGTCAGGGACTAAAAGGTACTCTTCACCAAACTGCCATGCAGCTGAAAGGGAGAACAGACTAACATGAACAGCAGCTTCAGAATTCTTCTACGTGAATATTTATACTTTTTCCAGAGTGCTTTGCTTCTTTTACTTTCAACTCTTTGTTCTACAGAACAGAATCCAGGGATTTTAACAGTATAGCAGTAAGCTGGCTGAGCTGCTCAGAAATTAACTCTCTTACTCTTTAACCCCCATATTTGAATAAATAACCCAAATATTGCTGCTCAGTATGGAACTGTAGAGCACCTCTTGATACAAAACAAAAATGCAACAAGTTCATGAAGTTACTCCACAGCAGACACCAAAGTGCTGTCCCTTCTTATAGCCACTGAAACAAGAAACAATAATCACTCCTGCATGATTAAAGGAGGAACAGACTGTTTCAAGCCATTTAGAAAACAAGCAGCAAAACATTGTGTTACAAGTCAGGTGCCTACACAAAAGCCTGGGCCAAAGACTAAATTCAGCCTATGTAATTCAGGTCAGTTGCACCCAAGTCTCAGAACACTGACTTGATTCCAACCAAGCTTTTCCACATGAATGACTTTTTGTTTTGTATCCCAAGCATGTTCCAGCACACCTAAAGGAGAACACTGGCCATCCCTGCATTCCTTGGAATCTACTCTAAGATTTGTCTTGCAGTTTTATCCCACAGAGCTAACAGGTAGTTAAGTGGGTAAAGCCAAACCACAAGTTTATTCTGTGAGGCGTTTCCAACGACATGAACCTACAGAAAAGATCCCATCGGGATAGACCTCAACACTTCTGGTACTATTAATTACCACAAGAGATAAATAAAAAACAAGCAGACTGGAAGGAAATTTGGTACAGATTCCAGTGTCATTTTATGTTGTTTCAAGACATTTTGAATAAAGATGGTAAAGATACATGAGCACCTCCTTCATATCATCAAGTTTTTAATTACAAGTTAAGGTACCTGAGAAGTAAATGTTAAAGGGAATTAACTACAGAACTCTGCAGAATCCTCACTATCAATTTCCTACTAAGTGTAACTTTCTGGTCAATGCAAAACTATCAGTTTAAGCAGTTAACCTGCTCACCTCGTTTTTACCTGAGAAATCAATATGAACATTCTTTGGGCAAATTTCAGTTAGAATAAATTCTTCCCATAACAGAATGAATGAACCATTATTAAGATACAGTAGTGTAATGTTGACAACAGTCCCTGAAATTTTCACAAATTAGTAAGCTTGGTCTGAGAGGCTTCTAGCCTACTGACAACCAGAGCACCTCATTCAGGTATATGCAGAACTTCACATGTCACACTAACCCTCAAATCAGCTTCAGACTTCTGTGAAATGGCATCCTGTATTTCTTCCTTGACTTTCTCTAAGGACCTGCCACCAGAAAAAAACAAGTAATATTACAAATCAGCATGTATGTGCATACAAATCAGCAGAACCTACAACAGTACTCAGATCTGTTCAGAAAGGCTCTTCTCACTCACTCTCTTCAGAGCAGTTGAACATTTTGCCAATCATCACAACAATTTTCTCACAGCATTCTTAAGTCTGGGCAAGATAAGCTCTCATGTTTTCTGAAACACTGGATTTTCTCAGTAAGAAAGGAGCAGCAGTATAAGCAGCTCACCAAGCTAAAGACACATGGCTGACGTGAAACAGGCAAAGGTAAAAAAAAGTCACAAACTTACCAAGATGCTAGTTCAGACTGGACTTCAGGTGCACTTCCTAAAATAAAGTAAATTGTTGTATCTAAGTAATACTTTCAAGTTTCCTCAGTATTTTAGCAGTTCATCAAGACTTGGGTGCTTTTATCTCAGTATGAAGCCAGCCAGCCAGCAGTCCAGTTACACTGGCTGAATACTGATAACACAACAAAGCATTTTATCTGCAATCAAACCACAGCTCAGTTTACCACACAGCTACCAACAAGATCCATCTGCAGTTGAAAAAACTGGAGCACTATGCCACAAAAAGGTAAAACTAAGGGAGTTCTCACAAAGAAGGCATGGAAGAGACCATTTTAAGACGCCTTCAAAATATGCTTTTTAATAAACCATCTACAAGAATTCAGCACTTCGAGTATTTTTCCTAATTCTACTTCTTTTAGTACATACGATGCAGAATTGAAGCACATCAACTCAAGTTTATAGTTGTATTTCATAGCAGCTGCATTTTTAAGTATATTTGCAGAATTGTCCCACTAAGTGAACTTGTTACAGGTCTCATTGTCACCACTGCAATTAAGTGTACAGCGAGGAAAGCAGAACCTGTTACTCTTCTAGCCACGTTTTCCAATTCAGACACACAGCAGGTAGTGTCTAGTTGCTGAAGAACGAGGCATAAAAGCTCCCCAATGTCTTTAGAACAGCCTGGGTTTTAAGCCTAGACAGGTAACTTGGAAATAAACCTGTCTCTAATGGTCATCTGGAACCTGGATTTCTGTTTCAAAATAGTTTTTTTTGTTGTCAAAAGGCAGCTAAGAAGTTAAGACTTCAGCTTTTATCTTCATACAACTACCTCCACCTAGGGAAAAAACCATCTGTTTCCTCAATACTTACACTTGTGTAGAGGTTTTCCAATCTGTTCCACACATCACAGGAATGCCCCTTTAGGAAAAAATATTTTGGAACAATGTCACTAGTTTAACTATACTTTTATCCCATTAACAGTTTAGCGGTTCTTTGATATTGTATTTGAAAAGCTTCCCACTAAGAAACACAGAATGTACTTGTTTCAACAGAAATACCAAGTTTAACCAGCACATCTGCATGAAAACCAACGATGCCAGCTGTTGAAATACTGTAGCACTGTTTTTTGAACACCGCATCAGGAAGACACTGCTGGGTGCAGATACCATACAGTGCACAAATTAGTCTGATACTTGCTGTGGGAATAGCACTACACTGAAGAAATCCAACAGTCTTACGCTGAAGCTCAGAAGAAACACAAAGCTCACCTCTTTTGCTACACCATGTTGCACAGATGTCCACCCAAGTAATGGATTCCTGAATCAGAAGGTCAGCAAACAGCCCTAAGAATTCAAGAGATCCCCAAAAAGTTACAACTGCTGCTGCACTGTGTGCTCATCTACAAAGACACAACCAAGCTACACTTCTGAAAATTTAGACCACCAAACTCTAGATTGATCAGTATTTGAATGAATGAATGCTCTTTGAGGCCATGCAAATATTGTCCCTTCATATAAGTAACACAACTAATACGTTAATCAGCTGTGGGTTGCAAAAGAAGGGTTTTTTCTAAGCACTAGGTTCCAGGTTTTTGCCTACAGCAAAAGACAATACCTGATCAAGTGCTGGAACAGACTGAACACATTCATTTTTTTACTACTTTTGAAGCAGAATTTGAAGTCACTTCCCAATTGACCATATACTTACTGTTAGCAGTAGAGGAAACTGACAGTTACCAACGCTTCCAGTTCTAGAGACAGGTAGCTTGAACCGAGGTAATTGTGGTGAGGAGTCCAGAATCTCACATACCCTCCTCAAACAACCCGATGTGCTTCCTAGTGCAGTTCTCTACCTACAGCAACAGCCAAGTGAGATCTCTGTTCCTATCTTGTAAGGTTTCCCTCCTCACCCACCCTCAGCTCAGTGTTTCCCATGTCAAAGGGGTTTTCCTATGCTGTATCCTTACAAGGCGCTTTCTTCCATGCAATTTCCTACACTGTCCCAAGCCATGCAAACTTGTAAGAAGCTTTCACAGCCATATACATGCAAGACTACCAGCTGCTCTCTGCTGTCCCTCCTGCTCTTGCAAGAGATACGAATTAAGATAGAATTTTACCACAGGGAAGCCACCAGAAGCTGCAGCTTTATAATACACCCTAGCACAGAAAGGGTGGGTGAGGCACCACAAAGATACTGAGGGGAAAGTATCCCTAAATCTTCAGCAGAGAAAATTCCAAACAGTGTTGTCCAAACCAAATCAGATAATGTTGCCCTGCAGCATTCAACATCAGGTAAAACTTTCATTTTTAACAAAAACTCCACTTTGAAGTATTCAAGAATTCAAGTTTTTGTTCAAAGAGAGGCTACAGGCTCTAAATTTGGTCAGACTGATGCAAGGTATGTATCACTGAACTCATACCTTGGAAGCTTCACATACACAGGCTGCTCAGCTGGGGAGCACTGCAATGTACTTTAACTATGGAGCACTTGCTTTTTAAAAATCTTCTGTGAAATAACTCCAAAAAAAAGCTATCTGAAGAAAGCAGAACTGAAACTCAAGTAACAGCTTACCTTGTGCAGCAAGAAAACCAAGAAGTATTTCATCTTCCAAAAGCAACATAAACTAGAAGGGAAAGAAAAGCAAAATGCTAAGAACTGTCATATACAGTCAAAAATAACTGAAAATAACTGAAGATTCCCAGAGTCAAAGCTAGAGTTCAACAATCAATTTAGAAGATGTAATAAGCTTAATATTCATGTATATTTATCCAATTCTAATCAGAATCGAAATTTAATTTATTTCTGAGTCACCCAACAGCTGAACATCCAAATTCATCACATGAACTGCAGAATGAGCAGGACTCCACGTGCCCCTCACTATGCCCTACCAAGAAAGAACCCCACGCCTAGATCCCGGGTAAGTGTTTCAAGCCATTGAGTATTTCTCAGGGACACACCTGGAAGAGTTACATTTAGCCATTAATTCTGGACTGGTTTTAGTTGTGACCTTCAAATGCTGAAGTAATTTTTGCAGTCCTAGAGCTATCAAGCTGCATTTGGGCAACTTCCTTTACTAAGGTTTGGGACCCTAATTCAAGCATGTAAATAACACAGTTTGACTTGCTCTCAATATTGAGCACCTACTGCAAATCTCCTCAGACTGTCAGTTGCATTTGAAGGAAATTTAACCAGCAGACAAAGCCTTTTTCTGACTACACACTCGTTCAGCACAGATTACATGCTGAACAGCTGTCAGCTAGCTGCTGACAGCAATTTGGTTAAGAGTAGCTAAATGAGACTGTGAGTTGACTAGTTTTTAAATCTTGCTGACACAAATTAACATTTTAAACATTTATTAGTTCAGCCATCAAAACTGCTGCACAGTAAGACTCAGTGATATCCAAACCACTTCTAAACACTAGCCATGTTTCATACTGACTTAAACACCTTTGAGAGAGGCATTTGCAATTGGGGCAATGCATGGTAAGTACTGTTCATAAAGAGATTTTAGCTTCTGCTAAGACATATTCACATTAGAAGCCATTCTGGACAGAAGAGGGCAAGAGGGGAAAAAATAATTTTTAACCCAAGATTCACTATACTGCTACAGATTATACTTACAACATTAGATTATTCTGTTAGATTAAGGGCAGAGATTTAGTTTTCTGAGAAGTTATTCCACATGGAATGAACAACCTCAATCATACAAAATTGGATTTTATTATCGTTCAAATGCATTAACCACATTTTGCACCATGCTTTTGTCAAAGTTGACCAACTACTTCTCCATTTTTATTGGCACTTGACTTGCATTAAGCTTCAGTTCTGTCTTCAACCCTTTAACTTTTAAAGTATTTCAAACATGCACCTCCAAGGCAGAAAAACAAATCTCTCAAGTATCACCCACAAAGAAATCTGCTAAAGAAAGGCACCCAAACTGCCCTTTTAACTTGAGCATACAGATGTTTGCATGCTCTTCTATATATATACTTTTCTATCCTGTGCTGTTGTTCTGTTAAAATATTTAGAACCTGTCTTCCCATTTTTAATTATGTAAATTCTATGATCCATTGGTTAACAGAAGTCAAGTTGCAGAAGCCAGAATTTCACCGAGATCATCAGCCACTGAAGGAGGTATATTGATCAAGAATAGCACAGAAGACATTTCAAAGCTTAGCATGAGGACAAGTTATTTTGTTTCTGTAACTGTCTCAGACAAAAGCCAAATATACTCACAGTAAGGCAAACGTGCCAAGGCAGCTGTGTGGAGAGCTCAAAACTGACTCCAGACCAATGTTTTAAACCAAAGAGGTTCATGAAAGAGGCATTTGAAGAACAACCACTGCCACCTCATTTGTTCATCTGCTTTTCACCGAGGTGAGCCTTGCAGAGGCACCGAGTTGTCTTCAGCACCATCTTCTTCATCCACTATTTCAATCACTTCAGGTGGTTTTGCACGTTTTCCTCCTGGCTTTGACTTTTTTTTACTGGGAATTGTGCTACTTAGAATGAAAGAGCTGTTCTCCTAAGATAATGGAAGACAGAAGTAGTCACAAGTCTAGTTTCAAAATACTTCAGATTTTAGTAGTAAATTTGCAGAGTTTAAGAACTCCACAGAGAACTGCAGAATTCCTATACACTTCAGCATTACATTAAATAGAGCGTGGACTATCAACCTCCTTCTGCAGTAAGAGATCAGGATTCACTGAGGTACTGTTAACTCTGGATCTAAGCTCAAGAACTAAATACCAAAGACATTACCTACCAATTCTTTAACTTTGGAACAGAAAGGCTAGAGTGTTTCTGAAGTTCAAGAGTGCTTACTTACCACTACTCTGGCATCAAGTTGTTCCTGAGTATCAGAATTCAAGTTGTCCTCATCATCACTGAAAAAAAAAAAAATTAGATCAAACTGCGTACTTCTATAGTGCCTTAAAATGTGTAAAAGCTGCAAGCCCTTAAGTAAGCAGTAACTGAGTAACAGCATTGTACCTTTACACTGTCTTTTAGGCTTGCTAAAAGTGATTTACAACGGCAAGTATTCCTGACCATTTACCAGTCTTTTTACTGCACTAAGCTAATTTCTTGACCCTAAAGACCAAAGATGACACTTTGTTTTAAATAATGTAAAAAGATATTAAAAACTATCCTTTAGTCTTTATTTCAGAACACTGTACTTTATTTGGGATAACATTAGAGGAGTGCATTTCAGGAAATACTTCATTTCAATTTCTACCAACAATTACCAGTCTTCAGATCAAATTAAAAATACTTCCTTCTGTGGGAACTTTTAAGTCACATCTACAAAGACAGAACCCCAAGTGGTAGAATGCTTTGTTCCCAGAATAAACAATGCTTTCATAGGTTAAAAGGACAGAACTGAACTTGATACACATACCCATTTATATGTTAGCTAAGCACAAAAGAGTAAGTAAAGATAAACTTACTCTGTCTCCTGAATAGGGGAAATGGGGCCTTCGTCATCTAAGTATTTGTGTTTCCGTAACACCACACACTCTTTTTCTAAGTCATCACTGGCCTGAAGGGCTTTTAAAGCTTTTTTAAGATGCTCCTCATATTTAAGCACTTCAATATATTTGAAAAATCCCTTTGCAGCTGCTTGCTGTAGAAAAAAAAATCTCAGTAAGATTTTATGATTCACAAGATTCACATTAAGAACTGAATTGTAACATTCTATCAATACCCATATATATTCTTGTTGTGTTTGCTTTGAAAATTATTAAACCTACATCAAGTGACCTGTTTAACGGAACTAAAACTTGTTTCATTGTTTTATTCTAGCAGAAGCGCAACGTAGTCCATTTCAATTCAACTTTTAGACTAAGAAAATATTTATCCTACAAAACAGAGGACTTACCTCATAGCCAAGAACCATCTTTAAGGGAATATGTTTCTTCCCATAATGTTCTTCAACAAAAGGGAATTGAAAACCTCTGTCCAAAAGCCTCCTTTTTTGTTCCTGAGGCGAGGCTGTCAGTGGGGGCCTCCCTGTGGGCATCTGTGTGCTCTCATACTTTTTCTTTTTCTTCTTTGAGTGAATTTTGTATTTTCGGTGTGCAGCGGCTTTGAACTTCCTTCCTCTGAAGTGATATGCAAAAATGGCCTTCAAATTGAGTTTTGACTTCTGCTGCTTGGAACCTTCCAATGATTTCGCTGGACTTTGGGGAGACAGAGAAGAATCTGAGGAGCTTTCATTGCCAGGTACTCCTGTAACAGATTCAGCTTGTTGCCTTGAAGATTGAGATCTCCTTTTCTGCTTTGAAGGTGCAATGGAGCACTCAGGGTAAGAAGCAGAGGCATCGCTGAAGAAGAAAAAAGTATTTACTTTCAAAAGAAGGTACACTTTCATGATACATCAGACAGGTTCTCCACAGGAAAAATTCTGAACTGAAGATAAAAACTCACGTTTCTGAATCACTGCTAATCAGTAAAACCTCAGCTGAAGCTGCTGATGATTTAGACATGCTGTTAGGATGATCTGAAGACTCCCCAAGAGCAGCCGCTTTCTGCCTTGACTC